TGAACACCTACTTTTGCATGTTTTCATATTGAGTGTGGCCTTATACCCAGGTCTGAGTAAGCTTAGAAATAGAGGGGTTGTGTAGCAGTTTCATTTGGAATGTACTTCCTATTTGGCTATCATGAAAACCCTAGTTAGAGTTGTTCTCTTCATTCGTATTCTCACCTCTAGTTGACTACCAATTATTGTGGGAAATAATGTGAAGTAAGTCATAGCTCTAACAACCTCATACCCTTAAGATTAGGAACCTCACCTTGTGATTATGCATTGAGTTGCCCTATATATTTAAGTGTTACTTAGAACCATGGTTAGGGCACAAAGGGAGAATTGTGCTTTCTTATACCTCTCACTTTTGCTTTTACACAATAAATGCACCACATGCATTACATTTTTCATTCGGGGTATCATTTGTATTTTTTGTGTCATGTCATAAGAGGAGAATGAGTTGATTGAGGAGTCAATTCATACTCTCTTGCCTTGTGCACTTCATACATTCAATTTCACATTCTATCTTAGCTTGTAGAGGTGAGAAATTACAAAGTTGTTTGATTATCATAGTGAGTCTAGAAAGAATAAGATCTAACCAAGTGGAGAAAGAGAATAAATTTATTTCACACAAGTTGACCCTATATTAATTTCCTTTATATAATCAAACAACACATGACTATCTATTCAATTCTATGGTTTCCCACCAGTTCTTTTTTCGACTTGCATTTTCCTGCATGCATTTTTTCTTCCATATTCTAATTTATGTCAATAAAAATAACAGAAAGAGTGAAGTTATGTGCGAGGAATAACGACTAAACCACCGCGACATCCCTATAGGACTCGAGCAAATCAGAAGAGCATGGAAGACTAGGAAAGTGCTCAAGAGGCCATGAAGGTTGACATTAACCAATTGAGTGGTCATATGAGCCAAATCCTAGAGGCATTAAAGGCCCTCAAAAGGACTGGTGAGACTCATGGTGTTGAGAATCAAGAGGGAAATCCTCCCTATCCTCTAGGCTTCTACCTTTGCCAAGCAAAAGTGTAGGCCGACAATAATCAAATGCCAGTTCACAATCATGAGTATACGACCCAAATGCCTTCAAAGCATCTTGCAACGGGAAACATATTTGGGGTAACTACTTATACAGGGCCTCAGACCACTGTACCTCTAGGAGCTTTGCACATGGTGACAGACAAAGGACCTCAAGCGAAACCTCCATTTTAAGCTACCATGCCTGGGGTGGTCAATGAAGATGATGGAGCCAGGGACAAATTGAATATCTTGAAAAAAAAAAAACCTTAAATTAATCAAAGGGGGAGGAAGTCATGGCTTTGGAGATGCTGTCGAATTGTTCTTAGTCCTAGACGTTGTCATTCCTCAAAAGTTCAAAGTGTCAGAATTGGAAAAGTATTAAAGGGACCAACTATCCTATGAGCCACTTAATTATTTATTGTAGGAAGATGACATCCTTTGCTGATGATGACAAGATGATGATCCATTTTTTTCGAGGTAGCCTATCCAATATTTGTCTAAATTGGTATATGCACCTTGAACCTACCCACATCCACTCGTGGAAGGACATGGTAGATGCATTCTTGAAGTAGTATATGTACAAAGTCGATATGGCTCCTAATAGGCTGTAGTTGCAAAATATGACAAAGAAAGTGAAAGAAACTTTCAAAGGATATGCTCAACGGTGGAGGGAACTTGTTGCACAAGTAGAATCACCGTTACATGACAAGGAGATGGTGACTATGTTTATAGACACCCTACAAACCCCTTTTTACGAGCATATAATAGGCAACGTCTCTTCAAAAAAAAATGATCTTGTCATAATTGGGGAAAGAGTACATGTTGGCCTAAAGAGTGGAAAAATCACATATGGCCCGTCTGCGGTCTTAAATGTGAAAATCCCTCGAAATGAAGGGGAATCACATGCAACATCTTGGTTCCCTCTTGGGTGAACCTTGCCCCAGTCCATTACAGACAAACTTACCCTCAAGTCCCCTATGTTGCTAATCTTGCGTCTCAACCCCAGCCTCACCACCCTAGAATTCTTCTTCAACCACAAGCTTTCCGCCAAGCGCAAATTATTCAAGCTCCAACATCTCAGCGCAAGCAAAATTGTAAACCAGATAATGCTAACTTGCATTTCAATAGAGGGTTTGGCCAAAGTTCAAATCCAATGGGAGGTTCTAATCAAAAATTTGTTTTTGTGAATTTCACTCCCATTCCTATAACCTATACGCAGTTGTTGTTGAACCTCCTGCGTAATGGCTTGGTTGCCATTTATCTTATGAAGCTTGTGAAACCACCGTACCTGCCAAGTTATGACACAAATTCTTATGTGATTACCACAAGGGGTTATCAGGCATCCCACTAAGGAATGCTTTGGGTTCAAACGCAAGGTGTAAACTCTGATTTATTTTGGGTGGTGATGAAGTGAATCTTGCCGCCTAGATCTCATAAAAGAATTAGTAATGAAAATAATGCAGCACTAGGACTGGTCTAGGTCATATCCTTGAGGAGAATTAGTCAATGTTTCTTAAATATTGATTTCCATTTGTCAAATGTTAGGAAATAGCAGGGAATATAAAGTAAAGACAGTGAAATATAGAAAATAAATCTAATCTCCTAAAGAAAGCAATAAGTTATTCTAAATAAAGTGGTAAATGAAAGCATTTAAAGAAAGCAATAAGTGCAGAAAATGTACATGGAAAGCAATAAAGAAAAGTTGTAAATGAAAATGGTAAATGAAAGTAATAAATCTAATATAGGAAAACTTTTAAAAGAAATGTGGTAAATCTAATTCTATGAAAGCATTTAAAGTAAAACAATTAAAGAAAAGCATGTAAATCTACTCTATAAAAGTGTAGTAAAAACAGAATTTGAAATTAAGAAAACAAAGGTTGAATCTCCAATCATCAGTTATTCATATGATTATCAATTATTTCTAGAACTTTGTCTTGCAATCACAAAACCAAATTTACAACAGTTCTAAATAATTAAAATCCAATTGAAGTAAGTAAACACAACTTAATTCCTAAATCAAGCTATTACTTAAATCTAGAAAGTGAATTGTGATGTAAATGAGACATTCAATCAAATAACCATAATTACATTAATTTTAATGAATTATAATCGATTACAATCATGAAGGACCAAATCTAAATCATAGAAAACAAGTTTTGACTGGTGAAACAACTTAGAAATGAATAAAAACGACATAAGAAGAATAGAGGAACAAAAAAATGAAAGAAAACAACAAGAATAGAAAATCTACAGAAAAATATTAAGGAGAAGTGAAAAACGAAAATTAAGTGGAGAAGATTGAGAAAAGGAAACAAATGTGATCTAAACCATCTTGAATTAATTATTTTTAATAAACAATTCATACAAGAAGCTCAAGAATCGGAGAAGATAGACTACTTTAGGAATATGACCAGGAAATGAGAGAAAATCTAAATGCTTCTCTTAATGAAGCAATCTTAAGAATAACTTATGTCTTTTCACTTTCTCAAGTATATTTATACAACAATAATCATGTACAAGACGCACAATGCCCATAATTAGTCAATTACATAACATTGAACTTGAATAGCGCTTTTGCATTATTGAGGTTTTGCGACAAATTTGCTCGGCGATTTAAAATTCGTTGAGTAGATTGGGCAGATTTGCTGATCGGATTGTTCAAGATAACACTTTATATTTCCTTTAATTTATCATTCCTGTAAAAATAAACAAATATTTAATTAAAATGTACAATTTAACTAATCAATTATATTTATCAATATTTATTTCCTTTTTACAAAAACTATGTTAACTACTAATACTTAACTAAAGAAATACACTAAATATATAAATATTATATTAATAAATTTATTGATAAAATGTATTTATCAGATAACTCCACACTTAACCTTTACATTTCCAAGCAAAGTAAAGTTTACAAAATGAAAATGAAGATGAAATACATTTTATCAATAAATTCAATTAAAATCAATAATTCAGTTATAAAGACTTCACAATCATAATGTTAAAATACAAGTACACTATCAATATATTCCTAATTTATAACAAGTGATCAAGTGGTCATCATATCATAATTAAGATTAGACATCCTCACATGGATATATTTAATTGCACTCAATTACTCAAAATGTTTAGGGTAAGTGTTTTTTTCATTTCACATCTCAAAAATAAAATTAATCATAGGCTTGGCAAAGTTCTAATTAAATAAACTAGAAACATATGCAAATTAAAGATCAAAAGGTCTTTTTAAAGGGTTGTAGTTAAGGTCAAGGTATGATTAGATAAATGGAATATATAGCTAATTATGAACATAAGAATTAAAAAGAAGAATAAGGGAATGAACTTTTAAATAAATCATAAGAATGCTATATTGAAATAAATATTTCTCATTTCCTTTTTCTCTTTTTCTTTTTCTTTCTTTCTTTTTTTTCTCGAATTTTTATTTTTATATTTCTTTTACTCGCTAAGCTGATTTTTGTGTGCTGAGAGGATATATTATTCTCAGATTTTTCATTTTTTTCAATAATTCAAAATCATGAATGACTAGTGAATTTTTGTGTGTTGAGAGAATTTGCAACATATTAACATACATTTTGCATAATTTATCTTGTATCCTTATAATTATTTAAAATCATTCCAACACAATACCAAAACTTCTCAAAAATTCAAAGTTCAGGAAGTGAACATGGTTTTTCACATTCCTTGGCTAGTAGTGTGGCTTAATTAAACAAAGAAATGGGAATATAAAGCTCAAAGTGGCTCAAAAGGGTTAATAATTATAAGGTAAGTTTCATTTGGCTTGTAGTTGGACTAATGTTCATTAGTTGATTTGTTTTCCACTAGTTGGTGTGATGAAAATCAACTGATACATTGTTCACTATCTGGTGCGTTATTTAGCAAGCTCATTTGTTTACATTACCTCATGCTTTGTTTGCGAATGATGTGTTATTTAATAGACTCATCCTAACTTGACCATTCTATAAAGATGGTTGAGTTGGTCTAAGGTGTTGGATTAAGGTTTTGGCCCTGAAAGGGCATGGGTTCAAATCCCATTCTCAACATTTATTTTTTTTTCTGTCTTTATATTCACTTTCATAGCTTATATTTTTATTCAAAATGCATTTTGACCCCCTAAAAGTCCTTTTGCTTTGGCAAAATAAAAACTCCAACTCTAATTTTGTCATGATATGTTGGTTGGTAAAAAATCATAATGGATCTTCATATATAATCTCCACGACCATTTTGTAGAACTTCTATATAAGATGAATTATTTATCATTATTTTTTTTCTATTTTATATTCATTTTCACAGCTTATATTTTTATTCCAAATGCATTTTAACCCCCTAAAAGGTTTTTTGCTTTAGCAAAATAAAAACTCCAACTCTAATTTTCTCATGATATGTTCCTTGGTAAAAAATCATAATGGATCTTCATATATAATCTCTACGACCATTTTGTAGAACTTCTATATAAGATGGATTATGAAGTCTTGTGACATCAAACAATATTGATTAATTGGTTTGGTTTGGTGTCCATTAGTTGGACTAATACTCCTTAGTTGATACGTTTGTCACTAGTTGGTTTGATGAAAATCAGTTGATCCATTGTTTGGTAGCTGGTGTGTTACCTAGAAATTAGTTGGACTAAGACTCATTATTCGATACTTCTATCGCTAATTGGTTTGATGAAAATCAGTTGATGCATTATTCGTTAGCTAGTGTGTTATTTAGAAAGTTCATTTATTGACATTACCTAAAGATTTGTTCACCACATGATAATTTGTTCAGCATTTATCATTATTTTTTCTGTTTTATATTCAAAAAATATTCATTAATTGGTTTGGTTTGGTGTCCATTAGTTGGACTAATGTTTGTTAGTTTATTAGTTTTTCACTAGTTAGTGTGATGAAAATCAGCTGATGCATTGTTCGCTATCTGGTGCGTTATTTAGCAAGCTCATTTGTTTATATTACCTCATACTTTGTTTGCTAATGATGTGTTGTTTAATAGACTCATCCTAAATTGGCCATCTGTTGAGATGGTCGAGTTGGTCTAAGGCGCCAGATTAAGGTTCTGGTCCGAAAGGGCATGGGTTCAAATCCCATTCTCAACATTTATCATTTGGCAAAATAAAAACTTCAACTTTACTTTGGTCAACTTTAATTTTGTCATGATATGTTGGTTGGTCAAAAATCATAATGGATCTTCATATATAATCTCTACTTTTATATACATTTTCATGGCTTATATTTTTATTCCAAATACATTTTGACCCCCTAAAAGTCTTTTTCCTTTAGCAAAATAAAAACTCCAACTCTAATTTTGTCATGATATGTTGGTTGGTAAAAAATCATAGTGGATCTTCATGTATAATCTCTATGAACATTTTGCATAACTTCTATATAAGATGGATTATGAAGTCTTGTGACATCAAACAATATTGATTAATTGGTTTGGTTTGGTGTCTATTAGTTGGGCTAATACTCCTTAGTTGACACGTTTGTCTCTAGTTGGTTTGATGAAAATCAATTGATCCATTGTTTGGTAGTTGGTGTGTTACCTAGAAATTAGTTGGACTAATACTCATTATTCGATACGTCTTTCACTAATTGGTTTGATGAAAATAAGTTGATGCATTGTTCGTTAGCTGGTGTGTTATTTAGAAAGCTCATTTATTGACATTACCTAATGATTTGTTCACCACATGATGAGTTGTTCAACATTTATCATTGTTTTTTCTGCTTTATATTCAAACAATATTCATTAATTGGTTTGGTTTGGTGTTCATTAGTTGGACTAATGTTCGTTAGTTGATTAGTTTTTCACTAGTTGGTATGATGAAAATCAGTTGATACATTGTTAGCTATCTGGTGCGTTATTTAGCAAGCCCATTAGTTTACATTACCTCATGCTTTGTTTGTCAATGATGAGTTATATAATAGACTCATCCTAACTTGGCCATTTGTTAAGATGGCCGAGTTGGTCTAAGGCGCTAGATTAAGATTCTGGTCCGAAAGGGCATGGGTTCAAATCCCATTCTCAACATTTATCATTATTATTTTTCTGTCTTTATATTCATTTTCACTACTTATATTTTTTATTCCAAATGCATTTTGACCCCCTAATAGTCTTTTTGTTTTGGCAAAATAAAAACTCCAACTCTAATTTTGTCATGATATGTTGGTTGGTCAAAAATCATAATGGATCTTCATATATAATCTCTACAAACATTTTGCAGAAATTATATATGAGATTGATTATCAAGTCTTGTGACATCAAACAATATTGATTAATTGGTTTGGTTTGGTTTGGTGTCCATTAGTTGGACTAATACTCCTTAGTTGACACATTTTTCGCTAGTTGGTTTAATGAAAATCAACTAATCCATTTTTTGGTAACTAGTGTGTTACCTAGCAATTAGTTGGACTAATACTCATTCTTTGATACGCCTATCGCTAGTTGGTTTGATGAAAATCAATTTATGCATTGTTCGTTAACTGGTGTGTTGCTTAGAAAGCTCATTTATTGACATTACTCGATTATTTGTTCACCACATGATGATTGATTAACAAAATTTTGTAGCCTAGATGTGATAAAAAAAATTTGCAAGAAAGGTAATACAGTGTTAAGGTTGACCTAAGTTGTGTCCTCAAGAAGAATTGGTCAATATTGTTTAAATCTTGATTTTAAAGTGTTAATGTTAAGAATGAGGGGGATTTTGAGAAATTTTGGTTAAAAAGTAGTAAAATGCAAAAATAAATCTAATTCTTATTGAAAGTAGTAAACTAATATAGAAAGCAATTAAAGGAATGCTTCACGAACCTACACTAAGAAAGCATTAAAGGAAAGCATAGAAAGTGCATTAAGTTGTAAAGAAAAGCAATAAACTTATTCTACAAAGCTCTAAAGAAGATGTAGTAAAGAAATCTCCTATAAAGCATTTAAATGTTGTGGAGCATTAAAGAAACTAGGCAAAAACAAAGAATAAAGAAAACAAAATTGAATGACATTAAAGTGTAAAAATAATAGAAATTTGTAGAGGAAACAATAGCAATTAAAATATTGATTATCCAATCATCAACTTGTTAATATGATAATCTTTGATTTCTAAAATTTGTTTTGTAATCACAATAAAAAATTCATAACCATTCTAAACAATTACAATCCAATTAAAGTAAGTAAACACCACTTAATTCCTAAATCAAGCAGTCACTTAAACCTAGAAATGGATTTGTAATGTAACTAAGAAATTCGATCAAATAACCCCAACTACATTGATTATAATGGATTATAGTTGAGTATAATCATTGAGAACCAAATCTAAACTATGTAAACAAGTTTTAATCGGTGAATCAATTACAAAGTTGAATTAGAACATGATTGAAATGTGAAAAACCAATAGAAACATGAAAACAAAAAAGAAAATGGTGTAAAAGTAGAAGAAGGAGAAGAAGAAGTTGGAAAACAAAAATTAAAGAGAAACAAAACAAATATTTTCTAAGACAACTTGAATTAATAATCTTCAAAGCATTGTTTGTACAAGAAGCTCAATAAACATACTTTGAAGCTAAGCATCACAAAGAGAGAAAATCAGGAGAGAGTTTAGGATTTAAAACATGAGAATCAAAAAATGAAACTTAGCTCATGTCTTTTGGCCTTATAAAGTGTATTTATACAACAACAAACATGTACAAAGCGAGCAAAGCCCATACAAAGCCCATAATTACATAATATAATTCAAATAACTTTCTACAGGATTGAGGTTCTGCGAAGAATTCATACGACGGTTCATAGTTTGCTAAGTGGATTTCTTGTTAAGTTTGTTACACAAGATTCGACTCATTCGCTTAGCAGTTTATACGTTTGCTCATCGGATGGTTGAATTTTTGAATGAGTTCTTTGACTAGATTCCGCTGAGCGGATTCTCTATGCGTTAAACGGGTTTCGAGACAAAGCTTTTATAATTTTTTAAATTTATCATCCGTAGAAAAAAATAATTTGTTAAAATTTGCAATTTAAACAATAATTTAGATACATAGATATTTATTTTCTTTTTATAAAAATTGTGTCAAAAATTATTAATTAATTAAAGAAATATACTACATATAAATAAAAGACATTAATAAATTATTAATAAAATTATTGATAAAATATGACCATCAATGAGTTATCCAAAGACTCATCTAAAATTGGTCATTAGTTAAGATGGTTGAGTTTGTCTAAGGTGCTAGATTACTTTTCTCGTCTTAAAATGCATGGGTTAGAATCTTATTCTTAACATTATTTCTTCCTTTTTTTTTCAGTTTCCATATTCATTTTGGTGCCTTATATTTTTATTTCTAATGCATTTTGACCCCCTTAATGTCTTTTTATTATGGAAAATAAAAACTCAAACTCTAATTTTCTCATGAAATATTGTTTGGTCCTAATTTATAATTGATCTCCATATAAAATATCGACATACATTTTGGATAAATTGTAGATAAGATGGATTATCTAGTCTTGTGACATCAAACAATATTCATTAATTGGTTTGGTTTGATGTTCATTAGTTGGACTTATGTTCATTAGTTGATATGTTTTTCACTAGTTGGTCTAATGAAAATCAATTGATGCATTGTTCGTTATTTGGTGCATTATTTAGCAAGCTCATTTGTTAACATACCTCATGATTTGTTTGTCAGATGATGAGTTGTTTAATAGACTCATCCTTACATGACCAACTATTAAGATGGTTAAGTGTATTTAAGGCATTAAATTAAGGTTTTGGTTCAAAGGGGCATAGGTTTGAATCCCCATTCTCTAACATTAATTGTTATTTTTGTTGGTATTTATATTAAGTTTCACACCTACTATTTTTATTCCAAATGAATTTGCAAATGAAGGATCTTCATATATAATATCTCCATCCATTTTGGAGAAATATTAGATTAGATGGATTATCTAGTCTTATGTCATCAAAAAGTATTTATTAATTGGTCCATTTTGGTGCCCCATTAGTTAGACTAATGTTCGTTAGTTGATATCTTTCTCGTTATTTGGTCATGAAAACTTATTGATGCATTGTTGGCTAGTTGGTCCATTATTTAGCAAGCTTATTTGTTAGCATTATTGGTTGATTTGTTTACTAGATGATGACTTGTCTAATAGATTCATCCTAACTTGCCATTTATTAAGATGGCCAAGTTGGTCTAATGCGCCATATTAAGGTTCTAGTCTGAAAGGGCATTGGTTTGAATCCCTTTTCTCAACATTATTTGTTTTTTTTTTGTTAGTTTTTATATATTGTTTGGTCAAAATTCCTAATGGATGTTCATATATAGTCTCTATGTCCATTTTTCATTAATTAGCCCGGTTTGGTGTCCATTAGTCAAGTAATGTTAATTAGTTAATACGTTTTTCGCTAGTTGGTCTGATAACATCAATTTATATTTTTATTCCATATGCATTTGCAAATAAAAACTCCAACTATAATTTTCTCAAGAAATATTGTTTGGCCTAAATTCATAATGGATCTTCTTATACAATATCTATATCCATTTTAGATAAATTCTAGATGAGATGGATTGTCAAGTCTTGTGACATCAAACTATATTCAATATTTGGTTCGATTTGATGTTCATTAGTTGGAATAATGTTTATTAGATTATACGTTTCAGTTGATGCGTTGTTCACTAGCTGGTGCATTATACAACAAGCTCATTTCTTGGTATTACCTGATGATTTGTTTGTCAGATGATGAGTTGTTCAATAGACTCATCTAATGAGTTCATCCATTAGTTGGTTTATTGAGCCATTGACTTGATATTTTTATCATATGGTCAATATTTTTATCTTGTGTGTTGTAGAAGACTATGTGATCAACATTTTATCAACTTTACATTTTATTAGACATGTTATTAAGCTTTAGTTGGTCAATGGTTCATGTAGTTGGTCAACACCTAAACTTGTTTTAGACATGATTCTCTATTAAAATAAGCTTATTAAGCATGCCAAAATCATATGGACAATAATAGTAAAAGTTCAACAATTGAAGTTGGCGATATGGGATGCTTAACATGGTCTTCTCACATCAAAAGATCTAATGAGGTATAAGACTTTACATATTCATCAAACCTTTAGTTAAGATGGTTGAGTTGGTCTAAGGCACTAAATTAAGGTTTTGATGCAAAAAGGCATGGGTTTGAATTCCATTCTAAACATACTTATTTGCTTTCTTTTTAGTTTCTAAATTCATTTTATGACCATATATATTAATTCTAAATTCATTTTGACCCCTTAAATAAAGTCTTTATGTTTAGGCAAATAAAAACTCTAACTTAAGTTTTTCATGAAATGTTCTTTCGTCCAAATTCATCTAGGATCTTCATGTATAATCTTTACATCCATTTTAAAGCACTTCCAAATGTGATGGATCAACATCTCTAGATGAGATGGATCAATAAGTCTCATGACATCAAACTATGTTTATTAATTGGTCTGATTTTGTGTCCATTTGTTAATAAACTTTCTACTAGTTAGTCTGACAGACATTAGTTGATGTGTTATCTTCTAGTTGGTGTGTTATCCATCAAGTTCATCACTTTGCATTTTTTTGATGATTTTTCCATTAGACGATGAGTTATCGAGTAGACTCATCTAATGAGATCATCAATGAGTTGGTTTATTGAGCCATTGAGTTGATGTTTTTACTCATTTCATTTGATACACTTAGTATGCTACATACTTCAAACTTTAATCATATAATATCATAAAGGTTTGATCTTTGGTTCCACCACCCAAAACCCTAGATCAAAAGATTGATAAAGAACCATAGAAGAAAATACAATAGCTGAGATCAAATGAAACATTTTCATTTTTCATCAAAACATTAGGTATATAATCATAGAATGTGTCGAAGTTTGAGATCTAAATCATATTATTCAAAGTTGTGGCTTGTTTTCTACAAAATAACAAAGATTGTTAAGGAGCCTATGTTAGACAAATGGCATCTAGAGGGGGTGAATATATGCACAAATTGAAATAGATATCAAATTAAAAATTTATTTTAAGATGTTTAATAATTTATTAATTTAATTTTAATTATTGAATTGAACACAGATAAAGTGGAAGTGATAATATAATCAAAGAGATAAAAAAGGAGGATGTAAGCACAGAGATATAGGGAAAAGAAAAGAGCACAAGAGATGAGCACACAACAATTTATACTGATTCGGGTATAGTCAACCCTACATCTAGTTCTCAGTCAACTCTGTTAGAATCGCGCAGCGGAATGTTCGCGTGGTCGGACAAAAACCAAGAGGGGGGGTGAATTGGTTTCTTAATGAAAATTAGGTTTTCAAAATTTTCTCCAAATTTTACCGATTAAAAACTGTGTAAATGTAAATAGAGAAAGGGATAGAGTCTTACACAGAAATTTATACTTGGTTCGGATCAAAAGACCCTACGTCCAGTTGCTAATCACTCAACGAGAGGATTAACGTTGTCACTATAAACAAATTGTTACAATACAAATTACAATGGAAGAGATAAAGTAAAAATAACACCTCTCTTGAAATCCACAAGAGATGAAGAACAGCTTTTCCCTAGAGACGGCACAACACACAATCCACTAAGAACTCCACTTAGTGATTCTTATCGCTTCTAGCCCACACCAGGTTCGAAAGCCCCCTTTCCTTGCAACAAACAGCTTCTCCGGCACTTACAAGACTTAACTTTTGTATGGAAAAGGTTGTTCTTCTTTTCGAGTGCCAAAGGAGAGTTTAAGTAGGGAAATAAGGGTTTAGGATTTGGGGATTTCGAAACTAGGGTTCTTGGTAATTGGGTTTTCGAAAATAGGGTTTGTTTGAAGTTTAAAATCGAAACAGATCGGAATAATCGATTATTTGGAGTAATAATCGATTAAAACAGAGCCAAATACGTCAGAACCCAATACTCTTCGGTTTAATCGATTATTTGGTGAAATAATCGATTATCTGCATGCGAATCGTATGGAATAATCGATTATTTTGTCTGTTTAATCGATTAAAGCGATGAGTTTGTACAGTAAAATGGTTTTCTCACTTGTTTTAATCGATTATTTACCTATTTAATCGATTAAAGCCGAGCCTGAATGATAAATTTGAGCTTTTTGAAGCTTCTAAGTTACAGACTATGTACTAGCTATCTTAGATTCTATAATTACAGTACTCAATCAAACTAAAACAGAGTTATTACAATACAGAAATCATCAATCTTCAATCTTCAATACTCTAAGTCTTTAAGCTCTTGGATCATCATCAAAATCAACATTCTTCATGATCATTATTTGCAACATCAAGTCCTTGAATGTTTAACAATCTCCCCCTTTTTGATGATGATCAAAATTATCTTTTTAAAGCCCTTGTAATAACCTGTTTTATCTGTCATACTAACAAACACATCAAACATACCAGATAATATTTAAATGCAATTCATAAGAGACTTTAAATTTTTCTCCCCCTATTTTGATTATAATCAAAAAGCGCTCTGCAATAACAATCATAAGAGCTCCCCCTCAAAATATGCATAAGTTGAAGATAATTCCCCCTCAATCAAAGCAATAACAAAACATCATATTTTATTGCGGAAATAATCATTTATTACAATCATCCCAAAACAGTCAAATTAAGCAGAATTTAAGCTATTTCTAATATCCCTAAGTCTCTTCTAAGATCATAGAATCTATCCTTGGGTAGAGGCTTAGTAAATATATCTGCTAATTGACGTTTAGTGTCTACATACTCTATTTTGCAGTTTCCTTTGCTAATATGATCTCTTAAAAAGTGATGTCTTATTTCTATATGTTTAGTCCTAGAGTGCATTACTGGATTCTTAGTTAGATTGATTGCACTCGTATTATCACACATTAATGGAATGTCATTTAAATATATGCTATAATCCTCTAATTGTTGTTTCATCCACAGAATTTGAGCACAACAATTACCAGCTGCAATATATTCAGCTTCAGTGGTAGATAAAGCAACACATGCCTGTTTCTTGGAATGCCAAGATATTAAGGATGAACCTAACAAATGACATGTCCCACTAGTGCTTTTCCTATCAATTTTACATCCACCATAATCAGCATCAGAATATCCTAATAAACTAATACAAGCATCAGACGGATACCACAAACCAAAACCAGTAGTTCCTTTTAAGTATTTTAAAATATGTTTTACTCGCAATTAGATGAGATTCTTTAGGACAAGCCTGAAATCTAGCACACACACGGACGTAATGCATAATATCAGGTCTACTTGCAGTTAAGTATAATAGTGATCCTATCATACCTCTATACATAGTTTGATTAACTTCCAAACCTGATTCATCCTTGTCTAGATAGCATGAAGTTCCCATGGGTGTGTTAGCTTTCTTTGAGGTGTCCATACCAAACTTTTTGAGGATCTCTTTGCAGTATTTGGTTTGAGAGATGAAAATGCCATCTTTAAGTTGCTTGATTTGTAGTCCAAGGAAGAATGTCAATTCTCCCATCTTAGACATTTCAAACTCTCCCTGCATTATCTTAGCAAATTCTACACATAACGAATTATCAGTTGATCCAAAAATTATATCATCAACATATACCTGGACCAATAAGATATGTTCTTTTACTTTCTTAATGAACAGTGTAGAATCAATTTTTCCTCTTGAAAAATCATTTGCAGTTAGGAAACTACTTAATCTTTCATACCAAGATCTAGGAGCTTGTTTTAACCCATATAAAGCTTTCTTTAATTTGAAAATATGATTAGGATAGTTAAAATCTTCAAATCCAGGGGGTTGCTCTACATACACTTCTTTTTTAATAAAACCATTTAAAAATGCACTCTTTACATCCATTTGATATAGTTTAAATTTCATCATAGATGCATAAGCAAGAAGTAGGCGTATAGCCTCTAACCTGGCAACAGGAGCATAAGTTTCATCATAATCTATACCTTCCTCCTGATAATAGCCTTTTGCAACAAGTCTGGCTTTATTCTTTGTTATGTTTCCATCTTCATCAAGCTTATTTCTGAATACCCATTTAGTTCCAATAACTTGATGTGACTCTTCTCTTGGGATTAATTCCCAGACTTGATTCCTTTCAAATTGGTTAAGTTTTTCTTGCATGGCTATGCACCATTGATCATCTTTAAGTGCTTCCTCAATGTTTTTAGGTTCAATCTGTGACACAAAAGCAACAGACATACAGAAATTTGTCATATTTCTAGTTCTTACCCCTTTTGAGATGTCACCTATGATGTTGTCCATTGAGAGTCCTCTAGGTGATTGCCATTCTTTTGCTAATTGAGGAGCTTGAGAAGACTCATTATTTTCCAAGTAAAGTTCATCAAGGGCTTCTCTTATATACTCATCATCACCTGCAAGTTCTTTATTTGACTCAAGAGGATTTCCCCCAAGGTCTACAATCTCATCAAAGGTAACATGTGTAGATTCTTCTATATTTAAAGTTCTCCTATTAAACACTCTATATGCCTTGCTAGTTAGAGAATAACCTAGAAAAATGCCCTCATCAGCTTTTGAATCAAATTTTCCTAGATTGTCCTTTCCATTATTTAGCACAAAACATTTACATCCAAAAATCTTTAAATGTGCAACATTAGGTTTTCTACCATTAAACAATTCATATGGAGTAGATTTAATAATTGACCTAATGAGCATTCTATTTAAAACATAACATGCCGTACTAACCGCATCAGCCCAAAAATATTTAGGAACATTAGATTCATTTAACATAGTTCTTGCAAGTTCCTCTAATGACCTATTTTTCCTCTCAACTACACCATTTTGTTGGGGAGTCCTAGGAGCAGTAAAAGTTATGTAATATACCATTTTCCTCACAATAATTCTCAAACTTTTCATTTTGAAACTCACCACCATGGTCACTTCTTAAAACTTTAATTCTTAGGTCTTTCTCATTTTGAATTTGTTTAGCAAACTTTCTAAAGACCTTAAAAGCTTCACTTTTCGTAGTTAAGAAAAATGTCCAAGTGTACCTAGAGTAATCATCAACAATTACAAGTCCATAATAATTTCCACCAAAGCTTTTTATCCTCGAAGGTCCAAATAAATCTAAATGTAATAATTCTAGGGGTTTTGAAGTGGAAATCACATTCTTTGATTTAAAAGATGATTTTACTTGTTTACCTTTTTGGCATGCATCACACAATCTATCTTT